CCACAAAGCTAAGCAGAGAGTGGAGTGCTAGTTTGTCTCTTTCATACTCACAGAGTGGTCATGTGCATATGTACATATACAATTATGTAATGTCTGTATAATTCTAATAAAACCTTTAACTCTGCCCAGGATTGCCCGTAAAATGAGTTGTTGAATAAATTCCCTCAACAAGAAATGAAACTTGATGTCAGTATAATAAATGTCAAGATAATATGAAATGATACTTGACTAATTTGACTGCTCCAGGTCAGGTTGATCATTATATGTCATCTGCCAAGTTGATCTGTTTAATTTCCAATTTAGAAAAAGCTAAAATAAGTGTTACTATTCAAAATGATCTATACACTACAGTCTAGTCTGCAGTCCACATCCTTAGGACCTGAACTGAATAGAAGTTGAATTAAGTATTAGGTGCACATCCAGAATACACAATGTCACTTTTCTTAATGACATTAATAGATTTGTACTAAATAATGTATTCATATTTTCTTTATTTACTTACTTACACAATACAATCTTTGCATTTAAGTGTTCTTAGCACATATCATTGCATCAACATATGTTAAGTTAAATTAATGGGCAATAAGGCAGATATCATTATTTGGAGAAAACCATTTATATTTTCATTTGAACCTTTGGTCTAACTTTACATATGCCACATGTCATGTAACCAGCTGAAACACATTTTTAGTTTTTTTTTCCGGATGTAGTTTGAGTTCAACACAGAGGTGAATGAAACCAGTTCCACTGCCCTGCATAAAAAACCTTTGACTATTTTTAAGAGTGAAGTCAAACAAAAAAATGAAATTCCTGGAGCTATTTTTAGGTGGTGCATCGGGTTATCAAATTACCTCTGTCCTTGTTAAATATGGGTACAAAGAGTCCGAGCCAGGAGCACATAATCATTTGGGCAAAGTGAGCAGGTTTGCAGAACCTTCTAACAATCTAGTACAACAATTGTTGAACTGTTGGTTAGCATTTACGACCCAAAGCAAAACTATTACCACTGATAACTTATTGAACATCTACCTTATCCATTCTTAGATCAGCTGAGAAGCACCAGCTCCTGTCAGTCAGGACACTACCAGGAGGATAAGATATACCCAGTGAGGTAACACGATCACTGGCTGGAGAGTAAAGACTTTTAAATAACTCCTGTTACTGCTGCCTGGGACATATCTGTGCAGGTCCAGGGCAGGACTCACCATGAGGGGAAACTCTGCCTGTTAACACTGACCAGGTCAGATCAGGCCTCAGGCTGCAGTCACACATGCTGCACAGCTTTAAAGACAATTGTGCTGGCCTGAAAGGAGCTGTTCCTGGCTGCTTTCTTCTAACAGAGAACAGTGAGTCCTTGTTGGCCTAGTCTGACTTGTGTTTAGGAAGCCATAATGTCTGGGATAATGCTGCCAATAGATTCCCACAAAATCTGTTTGTCCATTACCCAGTACCATGAGGATGTGGTAAAGGTCTGCTCAATAGAGCATGGCTATTGTAACGGGCCAAAAAGCTTGGTCTCCATGCATCACACCTTAAAACTAATGCAACCTGATTGGCCCACGGCCAGGAACATACACAGGAACCATGAAAAATGTGCACTTTTGTGCCATGAGCGCTCACTGTAATATCGGGAGCTTGATAACCCCATCATCATAAAAAGGACCATGCTGGACAATATCATTATTGCAGATGATATTTCATCATTTTGTTTGCCACAACACATTATCTATAAAAGACATGCAATATAAAGTATTACAACCTAAGTTTAAAGCTGTACAAATCAATTATATTAAAATTACATGTTTTTAGGTTACCAGAAACATGACTCAGAACTGTCAATGAGCAATTGTTAGCACTTTTATCGGGTGATAATAGGTACATTTTGTGTTTTAATCCTGTTCCGCAACCCCTAAGTGACAAACCCCTAAGTAAATGAAGGAATTTACTTTGAGTTTTTGGTCATGTCTTTGATCAAGCCAAAGCCATTTGACATTTTAACAAGTGAATTAAAGCAGTTTAAGGAGTACTCCAGCAACTCAGTTTGCCACTTACATAAGGTTGGGAGATTCAAAGTGCCATGAACCTAAATGATCACTAATGGCCAGCAGGGGGAGACTCCTCTGGTTGCAGAAAAGTCAGATACATTTTTTTTTTTTTTTAAATGTCTGAAAATTAAAGGTGGGGTAGGTAAGTTTGAGAAACCGGCTCGAGATCGCTAGAATTTGAAAATACACAACCGGAGAAAATCTGCCACTTCCTTATAGAGCCCCTCCTCCAACACACACGAACGCGCACATGACCAATGAGGGCACGAGATAAGTTTGTGCACAGATGGAAGGCTGACAGGCAGGTAGGCCATCCAGTTATTTTAGCCAGGCCGGCTAAAATGATTGGTCGTGCTTTTTACAGTACTACGGCTTCCACAGATGAAATTTTTTTAAGGATTTTTTGTCAAAACACTTAAGATATTCATTGCTATCGGGATAATAGAATAGAATTAGAATTGGGAGGGATGAAACCCTCTTTTAATGGTCACACATGCAGAGCACACAGCACACACAGTGAAATTAGGCCTCTGCATTTAACCCATCCTAGTACCAGGAGTCTAGTACTAGGAGCAGTGGGCAGCTATTGTACAGCGCCCGGGGATAACATCCCGATAGCAATGAATAATATATAGCATTCCATGGAATATAACAAAAAGTGTATCTCGAGCCGGTTTCTCAAACTTACCTACCCCACCTTTAATAGAAAAAAACCATTTTGGATTTTTGATTTTTGATTATTTTGATGGAGTCATAAAAAGGCTTAGGGCCCACTTTTCCTTTAAAAATATTATTTTTGCACAATTCTCTGTACTACACAGTACACACAATAAATATGAATGGGATAGCCTGCAAATTTAGTAGTGGGTAAATTGCCTACAGTATGTATTGGGATAAGTGGCACCCCCTCAAGAGAGAACAACACAAAGTGAACAATGGTTTCAGTTTAAACTGATGTCTCTCCAAACTGTAATCAGGATGTCAAGATGGGAAATTAAATATTTAAAGAGACAAAAATTTGAGAAAATAGTAATTTCCCTCGCACTCAGACTCACTACTCTAGTACTACATTCCTAAATATGTTCTTGAGGATGCTTGTTTCTGTCTGTGTGTATTCCTCCATTGTGTGTGTAGAGCCGGCCTTTTGTTCTGGCTCTGTGCTGTGAAGGAGGGTGGAGACAGCTGACACTCACCTAATCCCCAGCAGGGCAGCCCGAGCCCCTCCTGACCTCTTTCACCCAGAGGATGATAAACTTAATCATTGAAACAGCAATCAATCTGAAACAGAAAAAAACGTTTTATTTCGTGAAAATGTCAAGTCAGTTCAACTTTTTTTATTTGGAGCTAGTTGATTCTTCATGAGAAATGGATTGTCAAAGGGATTTAAAGTGGACCTATCATGCTATTTGTAGGCAATAGCATAGGTCTCAGATATATACAAATATATAAAAAACATGTCTGAAGTGTTTTGCTCAAAATACCAAACAGATCACCCATTCTAGCCATGCCTCATATCCCTCTATTTCACTTACTGTTTCAAAAGTGCTGATTTGGGGTATAAAGCTTTAAAAAAAAAAGGAAATTTGATTAAAAAAAAGGAGGGGGCTGAGCTCATGCGGGAGATTCTACCGGCAGATTCTGCGGTGATGAAACGCCATATCATGGATTATCAAGGATTATTTCTGAAACAGTATGGAGCTTCTCTCTTGCCGGTTATACCACAAAGTTCCTTTTTATATCCAGCTTCTTCACACACATGCTCTATCCAGTACAGGTTAGCTCTGAGTGTTAGCAATGCTAATGTAAACATGCACCGACCATATTACGTCCAAAACAGTCGGGCATTGTTTCTGATAGCAACGTTTCTGATAGGGCCGTGGGTGTAAAGCCAGCCTACATTTCCGATATTACGTCATATCGGACCCAGATCTGGATCAGCTCCGTTGTAGCCCCGTTTTAGAGATTTGGGTACGGAGGAAAAAAGAGAGGGTTTTATTTTCTGATGCTGCGTGAGTTCCCTGACACACCGGGGACACATATTTATGTATAAATTACATCAAAAAGTGCATTTTGCATGATAGGTCCCCTTTAATTTATTAAACAGAGTACAATACACTCACAGGACAGGATTTATACACAATGGGTGTGGATCATGGTCTGGATACATACACATGCAAATGTGCTGTTATACAGAGAGATGTCAGAGCAAACAGGCTGATGGCAGTCCGTGTACTGCCATGTCTGTGGAATTGTCAAAAAAGATTCATTCTAATGTCAAACCAAATGCGATGGAATTCCTTTATTGTCATAGTACAGGTACAACAAAATTAATCCATCCAACATCCAACAAAAAACAGCGGTTAACTGACCTGCATGAGATAATATCCTTTACAGCCCATATTTCAAGACAACATTACAATATTTCTGAAGACAAATCTGATAATGATAACACATTTGTATTTGGACACAACACTTGAGGTGAAAGTGAGATAGTAGTAGTGATACATTCCTTGGGAAATTGTTAAGTATTTCAACTTTATTGTGATGCTTAGAGCATGACATAAAATCTGGAGGACCTATATTAAGAAAGTACTGTTTGATTTCATCTCTTTAAAATCATACAAGATGTGTGTCAAGGGTGAAATTAGTCATCCAAGGCAGTAGTGTGTGTTTGTGTTTGTGTGTGTGCGTGTTAGTGTGTAATGAAAGGGTGGGGGTGGGGATGACGGGAAGTGTGACCATCAGGAATGTTTTTCACACGCCCATGCTCCTGTGTACCACGCTGTCTTCACGGTGCCGTCAGCCCCTGATCACGCACCAAGGCTCTCTCCCATTGGTTGGCGCTCAGCACACCTTTGCGTCCTATTGGGCAAGACGTTAAGCCACGCCCATCTTTTCCCCACCGTGTTTGAAACGAAGAATGGTGATGAGTCTGAAAAAGTAACTGGAAGACGTCAGTCACAATTTTAGTTTAAAGTGTTCACACGACACGGACGGACAAGTACACAGCAGTTAAACCGGGTTCCTGAACACAACACATAGACCCACATAAAATGTAAGTAAACACCTTTTTCACAATGTCATATATTCCATAAACCATAATATAAGCAGAAGTGTCTCTTTTAAATTATATAAAGATATGATATATATATATATATTTTTTTATGTAAATATATATTATCCACTATATCCAACGTGTTCAATGTCTAATGATGGTGGTCAAGCATTAGGTAATAGTTAATTTAATTACCACCAACTTGTGTGTGTGTGTGTGTGTGTGTGTGTGTGTGTGTGTGTGTGTGTGTGTGTGTGTGTGTGTGTGTGTGTGTGTGTGTGTGTGTGTGTGTGTGTGTGTGTGTGTGTGTGTGTGTGTGTGTGTGTGTGTGTGTGTGTGTGTGTGTGTGTGTGTGTGTGTGTGTGTGTGTGTGTGTGTGTGTGTGTGTGTGTGTGTGGTGTGTGTGTGTGTGTGTGTGTGTGTGTGTGTGTGTGTGTGTGTGTGTGTGTGTGTGTGTGTGTGTGTGTGTGTGTGTGTGTGTGTGTGTGTGTGTGTGTGTGTGTGTGTGTGTGTGTGTGTGTGTGTGTGTGTGTGTGTGTGTGTGTGTGTGTGTGTGTGTGGCTTTTGGGGCTTTTGTCCCCCAGTAGATGTAGGTGAAAGGGCCCCAGTGCTCAAGAGCAGCAGCTGATCATGCTCTCTTCACATGACCCTTTGTATGTTCTCTCTATATATAGATGAATGGTAAAATCAATAAGCTTTAAAACATTGATTCACCTCGAGTCGCCGTGCATGTCTGCTCACTGTTTTTCCATTTGATTATTAGTTAGACGCTGTTATCCAAAGCGATTTACATACTCAATACTGTGGACAATCCCCACAGGAGCAATTTGGGGTGAAGTGTCTCAGGGACACAACGACATGCTGACTGCAGTGGGGTTTGAACCTGTGCTCCCCTTATCCAACACCAAGGCTCTATCCACTGCGCCACACGCCTCCCCTTATTTATATAATGACTGACAGTTATTGTCTCAAACGGAAGAGCATTAGGGCCACATTATTATTTTATTTATTTTTTAGATCTGACCATAAGTGATTTTATTTTTTTTTAAACCTGAGATTAAAGTCAGAATTCTGAGAAAACATGTCAGAATTTTAGATAAAGCTATTATACATTTTTTTCCTGACAACCTCAGAATTTGAGATAAATAAATGTTTTATTTTTTTCCTGAAAAGTCAGATTATTTTCTCAGACTTTCTCAGAACACATGTGGCCCTAATTCTCTTCCGTAGTGTCAAATATTGAACATAGATTATTATCAAGAACAGTCCATGCATGGTGTGTTCAAATGTTTGCGCTTTTATCAGACTGTCAACATGGAATTTGAGGAGCTCGCCTCAGACCGCCAGGGTGAATCCCAGCCTGCTCCTTTGGGTGACATGGAGGCAGCGGAGGCTCTGGTGTCCATGACTAACCGCTGGGAGAGCTTCAGACCCCTGACTCCATCCTCAGAGGACGACTGTGTCCTCTTTGTCTCCACTGTGCCGCAGGACCCTCCTTCGGTAAGGGATACACATGGGCTGAGACTTCTCATATAAAAGTCTGCTATCATTTTGTGAATTCTGTAGAATTTCCCCCCAAACATGGCTTCATAAATGGTGTAATGTCAAACTTGATGCAATCCATAAGAAATGGACTGTCCCATGTGGGCTGTCCCATGATTGCTTAGATAAATACCTCTGTAATAAAACCCCATGCTGATTAACAGCAATTTCACAGAAAATAAAAACCATACAAAAGACATCAATATATTTAGCATATTTGAACACTTCATTTTATTTGTTGTCTTATTGTAATGTTTTTATTGGATGAATTGTCCTGCATTGGTCTGCTTTCATCTGCTCTCTTCACATGACCCTTTATATATTCTCTCTATATATAGATGAATGGCAAAATCAATGAGCTTTAAAACATTGATTAACATCTGTGGATGTCTGCTCAATGTTCCATTTTATTATAGGATCGACAAATATTGTGTCATATATTGATCATTGATTATCGTTACCTCATGAAAGAACAATCCATGCATGGTGTGTTGTCTCATTCTAATTTCTTGGGCTTTTATCAGACTGTCAACTTGGTGTCCGAGGTCATGGAGTCGGACATCGAGTGGGAGACTTGCAGTGCGTCCTCAGACTGGTCGCAGCCTGATTATGGCTCTGTTGGGCGGCAGCAGTCTCCTTTGGTAAGGGATACATTTGGGCTGAGGGTTCTCATATAAAGGTTTACTTTACACCAACTTGTAGTTTTGCAAATCTAGTCTTTTAAGTTTGTAAATTAAGTAAATGTATAGCACTTGTATCAATAGGGCTGCAAAATATATATTTCTCATGTAAACAATGACTGTTTCTTGTCTCTTAAATATGGAGATTTCAAGCATTTCTCTGGTTTATATAATTTTAAAGTGAATATCTTTAGGGTTGGGACTGACAGAAGTAAACAACTTTGAACTATGAAAATAATCGTCATATTAATCGACTGTAAAACAAATAGTTAGTTGTAGCCCTTCTTATCAATGTCAGAAATGTGCTTTACAAAAGTAAACACAAAATTAGTAATCTTGTTATTATTTCATAAAAATAATAATGTTGTTATTATTTCATAATAACAAGATTACTTAAAGTGGACCTATCATGCTATATTTAAATGATATATTGTAGGGCCATACCTATATAAGGTATATTTATACGTTTCTGTTTTCAAAATACCAAACAGATCATGCATTTTAGCCATGCCTCATTTCGCTCTATGTGCTGTTTGCTGTCTACGGGTCTGATTCTGCTGACCACGCCCCCCTGCAGGAGAGGGGAGACGTGCTCTGATCAGCTGCTGGGCTGTCAGAAGAGGGGGAGAAAAAGAGATCTCCGTCCTCCGTGTTTTATTATATAGAGTTGTTATTCATTTGTTTTAAAACTCAATAAATAACAAAGAAGACCTTTGACCGGCACTTTTCTAATTTTGTCCGGAAGATTTAAACTTTAACAGACATCTTGACCGGCGAAAGAAACTGAAACTGAAACTCTGCCGCACGGTCCCCTCGTTCCTTGGAAGAGGCGGAGAGGTGGGTGTTTGTCATCTGCTGGTGGACTAACCGGAGAGAATTACAGTGCTTGCCTCGACGGGGAGGGATTGTATTGAATTAAAGCAGCAGGAGCAAACGCTTGCCTCGGGGAGGGAGAAAAAAAGCCACAGCGGAGAATAAACAGAAGGGTAACCATGGTAACAATGGGCGGGAAGTCTTCTTCGCTGCTTTTGTGGCAGACTACAGCGTCACTTACAGGCCTGGCATATGTACTACAGCGTCTCCAGCGCTTTCGAGCGGCAATGGCCGGCCGTGGCCCAACCCCACATTCCCCTGATAGGTGGAGAGTTGGCCCAATAGCCGTAGCGCCACCGTCCTGACGTCAGGACAGTGTTCAAATCTGGATCAGTTTTTATCAGATCCGTTGCAGCCCCTTTTTTAGAGATTTGGGTATGGAGGAAAATAGAGAGGGTTGTGTTTTCTGACACTTGGTGAGTTCCCTGGAACACCGGGGACACATATTCATGTATAAAAGACGTACAAAAGTGCATTTTGCATGATATGTCCCCTTTAAATAAAGTTAACATTTTAAGTGTAATAGTAACAACAAAATGAGAAAAAAAAGTAAAATATGTTTAAATGCACATGACTTTAACTATATGTAGACCATTTGATAAGTGAGGAAGAGCATTAGAGTGCGGCCCTATTGTTTTTTTTATTTGACACTCAAAGTCAAACTTTCAGTCAATGCATTATTCTCGTATTTTGTTTATTCTCATCAGATTGACATTTATCCTCAATATTCCGTCTTTATTCTCAACAGTTTGAATTTAGTATCATCATTTAGACCTTAAAAAAAATCGACTTCATTAACAAAATCTTATTATGACGTTTTGCCTCTAACGTTTCAATTTTATTTCAACATTTAGACGTTATTCTTGATATGAAAATGCTATCCGTGTCCCTTATACTCTCCCTTAGATACTCGTATAGCATTTTTGTTTCAAATTTTAAAATAAGATTTGTTTGCAACGCTGAGTTTGTCAACCATTACAATTAATGACCTTCCTCTCCTTCCAGTGGATGACACCGCCATACAGTCCGCCCAACTTTGAGGCCACCCATTCCCCCCCAGCGATATCCTTATTTCAGCGAATAGTAGAAGAGACTCATGAGCACACACAGCAACGCTTCCAGTGCACCAGTGTGATCCGGCACACTTCAGATGGCCCGAGCGGCTCCTGTAGCGTCCGTCCTGCCTCTAGGGAGGACAGACTCACTCCCGTTCATACAGAAGACTCTAGCTGTGAATATGGGCAAGATGCTGTCCAACAGTCTGACTCTAAAGCAGCCGGGCCACAGAGATCTCACACTGCGGCTTTGCCAATTGTTTTTGAAACCAGCCAGAAGAGCCTTGAGGATAAATCAAACTCATCTCAGGCTGCTGGCTCTGAGCTCTCTCCTCTCCCTGTGTACAGCCACATTCTTCCTGTCACAGCCTGTGACAACCCAAACGGATATCAAATCCCATCCCCCACCACTGCACCACAGCACCGTCCCCCAACACAAGCAGCTCCTCTGGCCCAGGTCTTCTTCCTCGTCCCTCAGCTGGCTGTTCCTACTCTCTACGCCCGGCCGGCCCTGGTGACCCCTGGGGGCACCAAGCTGACGGCCATCGCCCCCGCGCCTGGGCTGGCCCTGTTGGAGCAAAGACTAAACCAGCCGCAGCCCGAGGTGTCCCGTGTCCGCAGCCATGTTTGTCCTCATGAGGACTGCAGCAAGACCTACTTCAAGAGCTCCCACCTCAAGGCCCACCTGAGGACACACACAGGTACGACAGGAAGGAGTTGAAGGGGGGTTTATGAGGTACTTATACATAGTCAGTGAATTACAAAGGGGAGATGGTTGAGTTTTGTGAATACGAACTGATCATAGTCACACAATAATACAAACATACTAACCAATTGAGGTAGCGGTAGACCAGCAACTCCCAATGTTTTGAGAGGTAAAATAGTTTTCTTTGTCAGAGAGCATAGATTCAAGATTCAAAGTCTTTATTGTCATATGCGCAGTAGCTACAGTGTAGTAATGGCAATGCAAATCTTCCCAGGCCCCTCCAACAATGCAAAATGAATATAAGACATAAAATAATAAAACAAATTTAAAAACCAATAAAATAGTACAAGGAGAACTGAGTACAATAAAATAGTGCAAGACTGTCTTGCAAGTACAATGTGCAAGTCATGCAGATGAAGTACAGTACACTTTTTACATGTCAAAAAATAACAATTCAATAAGCTCAATGTTGCAGTTGAGTCTAAATACATGTACATAGAATAACATTAAAATAAACTTTAATATGAAATACTGTCTATTGTAGTAATGGATATAGAACAGCTTCAGTCTCCCATCAGAAAGAGCTGCCTGACAGCTAGTAAAGTGAAAATATTATAAATGTAGCTTATAGCAGTAAACTAATGTTGATTTTTCTTTGGTGGTCATTTTCTTACAATGAACAATGTTTTGCTGCCCATCCACAGCAGTAAACAGGTTCAATTCAGTGCTGGTTCTTAGGTCTACTTCTCCAAACTGGGGGAATGCCGACGCCATCTATTGACTATGAATAAGTACCTGATATAACCCCCACTCAAAATGTGAACTTTTACTTCAATATAGTATTTAATCATTAACCTTCTTTTGTCATCGGGTTTCATTTGCCCCCATTCAAAATGTTGAATATCAGAAATATGGGTTTCTTGCATTTAATTGCCACAAGATAAGATGGTTGCATGCTACGTTCTTAGCCAATACAATTAATGATGACTACTTTCATTGAATTATAAATGTTATATTAAAATGTATAGCATCTCTGGTTTATTTAAATTAGGTATAGTTTGACGCAAATTTGGACTGATAACTATATATTGAACAAATAAATGTAACATTTGTATGTATTTGTTGGAATGAAGTGGGCTGAAAATGTGTTACACAGAATTGGGTCAATGTCTATATGTTATCCTAAGCAGTCAAACCAGGGCAGATCAAATTTGACTTGAGGACAAAAACACTAAGGTTAAAAAAGTACATGCATTTTAAATATGGAGCCCTTATATAATAATAATAATTCATTCATTTTATATAGGCGCCTTTCAAGGCTCTCAAGGTCGCCGTACAAACACATAAAAAACAAGATACACAATACATATATAGATACTCGAATACATTTTACAAAGCAGCCAATGGTCAGCTTTCAATGCAAAAGATGACACAAATGAAAGGGAAGCAAACAAATGACCCAAAAAGCCTTATTTTCTAACTTCACTGTCTGTTTTCCAACAGGGGAGAAGCCCTTTAGATGCAAGTGGGAGGGCTGCGAGAGGCGATTCGCTCGCTCCGACGAGCTGTCCCGCCACCGACAGACCCACACAGGGGAGAAGAGGTTCGCCTGTCCCGTGTGCCTCAGCCGCTTCATGAGGAGCGACCACCTCGCCAAGCACGCCCGGAGACACCTCGCAGAGAGAAAGACGCCCTGCGCAAAGTTACAGGTCATCCCGTCTGCTGACATCACTGCTAACACACAGTGTCTTCAACAAAAGCCTTCTGAGACATGCTGAGGAGACGCAGAATGAAATGCTGGGAATATGAAGTGTGCCGGTTATATGCACAACTGTCAGATCATAACACTTAACATCACTGCTGAACCAGATGAATGTGCATGTGAAGTCTTTCCTTTGCTTTGATGATTCTAGTTGAAGATGTTTACAAACTACTCAAACTGAGCATCTACACTAAAATGATCCACTGTTAATACTGTTCTGTACACTTTTACAAATCAATGCTAAACATGTTTACTGTTGAGTGATTTTTGACCAAAGAATGTTAAGTATTGTTCCTTTGAGCCATACAAAAATATTTGGCACAACACTTTTTTGCAGGGAACTGTACTTTGTGTTTTGTTCGCATATTTTGTAGGATCATTGGTACTGTCCATTTAACATGTAATGATAGACTTAGAAAACCATATGCTGCTCAATAGTAACTTTGCTTTTGACTAGATACAGCCCCAACATCATCTTGCATTAGATCATTTTTCTAAAAGGAGAATTGGATGAAGTCATCATGTAATGAAACAGTTTCTGAAAGCGTTAATATTAATGTTCCGTGTATGATGATTCAACTCAGACACAGGGATTCAGTCCAGTCATTGAGGTGTTTATTGCTGTTCGTGTTGACGATCACAGATAGTTCATCATGCCTTAAACACAGATAGGGAAATCATATTTTTTTAAAAGCAGTCCTAGATCTTGAAAAAATATTCTCAAACATAGAAATATTGATAGAAATAGCATTAAATGTTTCTAGCATTATAAATGCTTTGTTATTTCATGTTAGCTGATTCTTTATCCATCAGCACTTCCTTTGTTCCATCTGCAGCGCGTGCTGAATAATAAACCGGTTTTATTATGTCGAAGTATAACAGTTACCTGCTGCTCTTTTACTGCTCAGGGAGTAAGCTACTTAGCGTTTTAGAGAAACACTAGTTCAGCTTCTCAACCACACCAGAACAGACTGATCATTATTACACGAGAGGACTTCATGATGACACTGGCTTTGTTCACAGATGAGTGAATACGCTTTCATTTGCAAGCTTCAAAACACTGAGTAGGAAAACATGTAATCAATGTTATAAGGGAAATCAAGCTCTGATCAAACTGAATAAACTATACAACCAATTAAATTCATAAATACACATCCTGTAGCAAAGCACACTACAAAATCTCAGAACTGTGTATTTAAATACACAGCTCCACTCAGTTATACATATTGTACTTTACGACACTGGCAAAAGCAATGAAGACATAGATAAGAGGATTTGTTAAATAGAATCATTATACGTCTACCGTGTGTGTGTAAACGGCGCAAAACAAAGGGAAGAATGCATTTGTCTTTTAGGACTCATCCATTTTGTTGCATACTTAAAACATCTACTTAGGGTTTAATCGCTTAGTTTATTGTGTATTGGGGTTTGTAAAATGCTATATCTGCTCCATTCAACCCCGTGAAATGTGGACCAGAGGAAGCTAGCAGCAGAAAGCAGGAAAGTAAAGACTTCCTAGTCTGATGATTGCTACGCGGGGACAGACAGAGCGGCCTCTGTGTGGCAGGAATTGTGGAAACAAGGGACCAAAGAGAAGTTCTTCAGTGTAGCCTCATGGGTGACTACAGTGTCCTGCATCTCATACCTGGGGGAGGAAAATGAACGTCAGACGAGAACAAAATCTACACAGAAGATATGCTCACTTTCTCACTCCAAATGTGAAAACCGTCAATGGCGGAGTCCCTTACCAGTCCCTGGAGGAGATGACGTAGTACACAGGGGGCGCTGGTGAGTCGGGGGTGGTGCGGAGGGGCTGTCCCATGGTGTAGGCCCCTGCCTGGGAGAAGGTCAGCCAGTCTCCGATGTTGAGCTCAGGCAGCAGGCAGTGCTCCACCACCTGGTCCAGGTCGTCTGCAGAGGGGCCCCACAGGCTGCTGCTGAACACCGGAGCATCCAGGGGGGGGTTCTGACACACACAGATTTATTTACCAATCAACTTAACATGAGAGCTCTGATCATGACTTATTCAACAGAATATATTCTGGGTTGCCAGATAGAAATAAGTAGAACATCATTTATTTGTGTAGGTTTCTTTGTAATATCTTACACATTTTCTTCATGCCAAATCGGACCAGTTCAGTAAAGTCTGGAAACCTTACTTATTTTATTTTCTTGGGCTCGATTTGTTGGCTGTTATTTTAGCATTATAAGTTAATAAAAAGGTACAAATCTTACAATAAGTGATGTTTGGTTTGCACAACTTAGAATTAAGGATCACAGTTCTGTAACATTGTACAATACAATTTAGTTTGATGAGACTATTCATAATGCAGGGATTATTTATTAACAGAGAGGCTTTATTATAAGCATGTCAATGTTCTTATCTCACCCTACACCTTTTATAAACGTTTTGATTTCCATCCTTAACGCTTGTTTGTGGCTTTTTTCATCATCTGTGAATTTTTCAGGTTAAATTCAATATTGTCAAATTCAGTGGCGAGCCGTGACTTTTATACTTAGGCCCTCTGACCCCCCCATAATTTCGCAACGATGTCATCACTATCACTGACATGAGCCATCATGAACGAACTTATGCTAATCATAAATCTATCGATTAGATTTATGATTCGAAAATTATAAAAGTAGGGCAGACATGTGGATATTATCCGGCTGAACAAAACGTGCATTTATCAAACAGGTTCGTTTTCCACAGACCTTATTTCGAGCTATTTTCCAAAAAATAAAGCCCACCCATTTAGAGGGAAGATATGATTGGTCAATTGTACTGTCATTTGACATTACTCTCTCATTGAGTTACTGTAGCGGGCCCTCTGTGAATTTACAGCAGGACCACCAATCAGCTCCTGTCTTCACAGTGACTCGCAGAGACGAGCTTCTTTCATTTAACCCTTCACATTCCAACAGAAACTGAACAGGCTGATTCTAAGGATTTATTTATTTGGAAACGTTATTTTAAATACAATTAAATCAAGTTATTTTGGTAAAACTAATGAAAAATATAACTACCGGCTCTGGTCAAATTATTATTTATAAAAAGCTGTACCTGATAATAAGTGATTCATTACAATGAAGGTGTCATTTCGTATGAGTTTTTTCCCCATTGATTACATCAGCTATCATCGCTCAGTCAGAGCATGAGAGGGAAGCATCACAGATTATTATTCATTAGGATGTTGGGCTAACAGATGTGTATACAATTAAGGAAAGAAATGTAGACAATCTTTGAGACTCACCTTGTGAACAGATGGAGCAGGGATCAGCGTCTCACAGAGTTTGCTGGTGAATGATCCATACACCCCCTCGTTCATGTAGTACTGGAACTCTGGCTCATCGTTGGGAGACGGATCATCTGTTTAGGAGAAGGTAGAGAGAAATGGATTCATTTTTCAGAGCACTTTATATATTTTGTTTCATATAAGAATACAAAATCAAACATTTGAACAGTTCTCTTTGACTGGTTGACTTGAAATGATGCATATTTCATACAATAGTTGCGTTGCATGTTTAGTTGTAATGATGCATATTACTGCACATTGTAACTGACAGTCCTCCTCATGTTCCTCAAGTATGCTATATACAGACCAGTTTTCCCACAGATCTGAAATATACTTATGGTGGTAGCCGAGAACGGGGGGGGGGGGGGGTGTGCTAGCGGAGCTCGGTCATGAACGGGGGGGGTTCGCCGCCGGAGCCTCGCAGCGGAGTTACTGCGGAGCGCATAAAGCAGACCCTTCGCGCGACAGAGCGAACAGGTACAGGAGGGGTAGTTAATCGATCGCAGATGGCGTCGTGCTCGCGGACGGATAAAACAAGAATACATCTAAATGGGTCACGAAATATAATATACCTGGGCGGCCCGCCCAAGTAAAGTCTATGTGTGGGAAACACTGCAGACACAAAGTCATATCAAAATAAGCTTTAATATCTTTATTAATACACTGGATACCCTGAGAGAATATCATGCCACTGACCGTGTGCTTGGTCCTGGCGGTCTCGTGCCACCACCTCCTTGGAGATGATGTTCACAGCCAGAGTGAACGCAGAGGACACAAAGAAGCTGCCGGGCTCAGCGATGATGGAAACACCAGTAGAAGGAGGGAAGTATAAATCCACCATCGACATGACTGCAGTATTGATCTGAAAAACATATGACAGTGTTAGAGACATTAGAAACCAAAATGGGTAGACCTTTAAATGTTCTTAATCTGATCAAGGTGTCAGGCTTTGAAGAGTGGTTTCAATCAGGCTTCTCACACCCCAAAAAAGGATGGACTTGAATCTAATTATTAATTTTATTTTATTATTTTTCTTATACATTAACCAAATACATTTTTTTAGGATGTATATATATTTCATTTGTTTGTTTATTTAAACTTTATTAAAAGGTTCAACTCATGTCCAATGTGTTGAAACATAGCTGCTTTAACAAAACCATTTCCCAATTTTAGATCAAATCAATCAATCTACTCTAATCTAAGACTACAGTGTCCTATGACTGGGCGTCATAATGTAAAATTCACATTTAAATGTAAAACTGTATAACAGTACATTCTAAATAATGGATTGAAATTATGAATTGTACTTAATTCTATCATAATTTGTCTCCTTAAATGTTCAAAAGACTGCTGACTGACTGTTTTTAAAGGTAACACTGATCAGTGTGAAAGGCAGATAAGATAGTAACCATTTCCAGCTGGGTCTCAGAGCCACTGAAGCCACCTCCAATGTCCAGGACATTCATGTTGAAACCGATCTCCTCCTGAAGCAGAAAAACGCTTGTAAATGTGTAACCAAAACAAAGTACTGAGTAATTCTTAAGCTGCCACAAGTGTCCAAAACATCAGTGTGTGTTACAAAGCAATGAAATGCTAGTCACAGGACTGAAAAGCAATAACAATAATATATTTACTTACTCCCATGTCAAAGACACAGCGGGCGTCAGATATGGCATGAACGTACACCTGGTCATCCTCGCAGGAGCTGGAAATGTGAGACCTTGGGGGAGAAAATGAGAGGGAAAGTTAATGATCAAAATGTAAAATCTTCACAAGGAGTTAAAACGTTATCCAGTAGCAGGTTAGACTTCATCTTTGATCCAGAGAGAGCTGAGGTAAAGAAAACTGCTGTCATTCCACATATCAGTATGTTTCTTCAAAGTGCGTCATAACCAGACAGTCATTCTCAGGCCTCACCTGACTCCCACCACCTGCACCCCCAGCTCCTTGGCCTTCTCCAGCAGACGCCTGCAGTCCTTGAGGGAACAGCCGAATGCCATGCTCATCTCGTCGCCCTGGCTGGAAGCTTCTGTTGAAACTTGTAGCAGCAGCCTTTATTAAAAAAACAATCTGTGTTAGTGGTTTGCTGACCAAACAAGTGGTTCAAAATCAGAATGAGTTGACGGCACGCACATTAAATCACAAAATATTGCATCTGAGACCAAATTATTTTTTAAAGCTTGATTTGGCAAAGATTTTGTTATTGGCAAACCCAATGTGGAAGAAGAATGTATTTAAAGGGAAATCCTGCAAGACAGATTCTAATGACTCCTAAAAAGGTAATATGATTGCACAAAGCCAATTACCTGACAATGTTAAACTAGAAGCTTTCAGGTCACATGATCACTGGCACCAGTACTAACACTCTTTGAGCTCTTACTTGGCATTGGGGTGGCAGCGAGAAATCTTGCGCAGCTCGGCTTCATTATCACACACCAGGAGGTCAATGCCGTTTTTAGCAGCGTATTTAATCTGGGACACTTGTTTGCAAACACCGCTGTAGACGATATCTTCAGAGGGAATACCATGGCTCTGCACCAGCTCAAGCTCAGACTGTAACACAAAAGACAAATACAGATCATTATTCCATTATTATGTGTAAGTGGGCTAGTTAATAGACATATGATCATACCAGGTACATCCTGCTTGGTTTAATACAGATAAAAAAATAAAGAATACATAAAAAAGGTAGACAGGCTCTCGTAGGAGAAGAAGTGCTAAAATATTGAACAGATTTGTTTTAAACTCCCTTTTATGACTGATTTTTTTACCTTTGTTTAACCAGCTAAGTCAATTGAGAGCAAATTCTTATTTACAATGACAACCTGACTAAAAGACAGTAAAAAAAAACAGAAACAAGATGTTAAAACATAGATACAACTAGTAAGCAACATTAGACAAAATGAAAACGTCAAAATAAGTACACTATATAAATAACAATATAGATCTACCGGTATGTACTGTACTATCTTTGTATCCAACACATGTTTCCTGTGGATAAACCTGAACCGACTACAGTGATACAACCAGTTTGTGGTAAAGTACCTTGTTGGTACAAATGAATCCGGCGCCGAGGGCAGCAAGAACCTCAATAACAGCTGGGCTGCTGTTGCATCTGACAGCGTAGTAGGGTCTAATTTGGGCCATGTGGGTTCGCCAGCGAACATGCTGCCTCATTATTACTCCCAGGTCTGCTACAAAGAATGCATTCTTCTCAGTCTGAGGAGGAAATAAAAATACATGTCAATGAGTAAAAATACAAACTCCAAGCTTTTGCTAAAGTCTGTCAGATTGTGACTTACCACATGTAAACAGGCCAATAGAATAAAAGGTGTTTTGAAAAGTACAAAATGCAGGTTTACAAGTGTGTGCTAAATGTACATGTTGCTGCAGTGAGGCCCTTACCAGAGATTGTTCATAAATATGATTGTCAATCACGTCACAGAGGGCTGCGCCTCCCTCCAGCAGACCGACAGAATACTGCGGTTCATCAGCGATTCCTTTCATCCTCTCAACCGTTTTCTTCTAATCCGACAGGCATAAAGAACTTGGCTAGTCCGAAGTGTACTTGCTCACACCCTCTTGAGCCCCTGGGTTCCTAGACTTTAGCAACAAACTGTACAAGAAAACGAGAAAGGTCAACATAAGACACAACGTTCACAAACAATTCAATCATATATGGATAATGCATTTCAAATGATGTTGTCCAGCTAGTTTATAGAGAAGCTGGAACCAAAATATTATATACGAGATCGGCAAATAAAACAAGTCATTTTCAGGGAGTATCCAATCAGAGCACAGCGCAGGCTGCATGTTACAGGACAGCATTGTGGAAGAGGCCTATTCTTCTAAAGAGCCGCTGTCAAAACAGAGTCTGGGGCACAGAGTTCATTCACTTTACCATCAATTACCCCCAACAATCACCATTAATCCCGGAACTGGTGACCCGTGAAGGTTCTTTTTGAAGGCATTAAATAAAGTACAATACTGGCGGCGTTGATGTCACAACTTTACTTTCAATTATGTTGCACAAAAAACTAAATCAGAGAGGCACAGCAGTCTGGGGTGGAATGTATGTGACATGGCTGTAGGTTAGGGAGGTTAAATAGTGAGAAAACAATGGGCCTAGAAAGCCTGAAGCAACTGAGACAGGGCGGGGCTACTGTCAAAAAAAGGGCATTATGCTTATGACTCCCCCAAAGTCTGATCAGTTTTATAAAAAATAGTGTGCAGATGTATTTGTTTAGAGTCTGACACACATGAACTGACAGAGGGACAAGGGCAAGTCGGTGATAACATTACTCTCTTGAAGTAAGTGATGATGTTAATGGCGTCATACAGTCGGTTAATGATCAGTTTATGGTTTACAGTGACATTATCCTGCAGAGAGAACTTCATTAAAATCCAGTCACTATTAGCAATATGAATATCGTAATATCTGCGACTAAATGAGAGCAAAAGAAGAACTATATCACAAAAAGCAGTCCAGAACACATTGTCCTGTTATTGTAATAGAAGTGCTGAGAATAGATCTCAAATCTAAAATCTAAAATAAATATAGCCTGTTTGTTTTGTTCTTTCTGTCAACGAGTCTGGTGAAAACATTTGTCACAATGCATTAGTACAAAACGACTGACACGTGTACACAAGTGCTAAAACAAACAGGTTTTACACTGCATGTTTCTAGAATACAATCTATTAAGTCAAATAATCAAAGATGATGCATTTATTCTTTATTCACACCTGTGTTACTCACATGGATGAGTCCTGGTTTGAACCCGTCCACTATCAGCTAGGATCCCAAGGTGGCTCCGCGTTGAAGTCAAATGGCTCTCGGTGAAGCGATGACCCTAGATCTTCTGGGTAATTATTGTACACCTGCAGAAGAACAGATGAAAAGAGAGCACAAAGGAGTCAATTACTGACAGAGAAGCAACTCTGACCAGGGGAGCAACTTTCCCCACAATGCTCCAGTCTATCCTAACACTAAGGACGTTTTTATACAATTAAATCTGTAAAATGGTTGAAGAAGCATTAATCAAACTGGAAAAGTGCTGAGGGTTAAAAGCCAATAGAAGGAGAGCATTGGGTTTGCATTTTGGTATAAGTTAATGGTATGCAACACCTTTTTCCGTTATTATTGCTGTTTGTTAATGTTTCAAATCTTACCCTATCCTAGTTGGGATCATAGTCCCTTTTAGTAATTAACATAATGCATTTATATTGTCACTGAGTTCATTCACAATAGTATTTTCAAACTCATGCGGGGTGATTAGCCAAACACCAAGCATCCTCCTTCTACTAATTCAAACCACATTTAACATTTCTGACATACAGGTGGCTAGCTAGCTTGCTAACAGGTCATGTTGCCTTCATTTGTAACGGTTAGCATTAGCGTTAACTACCTAGCAACAAAGGAGGTGAATATTGTTTTAAAAAACTATTTGTAACTAATTTAATCAATATAAATTCTACCAACTATTACGCTATCTTTCACTAATTTTAGCTAGCATGTATTGTTGGCTAAATTACACGGTTAATTCATAAACAAGCTCATAGCATGCTAACAGCGCGGTTAGCTACGTTAACGTTACTTACGTTAGCTGAAAACCCAAAAGAGGGGACAGAACGCTTTTTCTTTTTAGGCGGAATTTTTAAAGAGTGGTGGGGTTACTAGAAGAGAAAAGGATAACTGCCATGGACGTGGTGAACCAGCCAGAGTTATTATCCTTCAGCGTTTTGTTGATGCAATCTTGTCGTAGGATTATTTGTGACGACTGAGCGGAAGGCAACAGTGGAGGTCGAGAGTGGAGGTGGACGGACAGACAGGAGCATCAAGAACTAACATTAACAGCGAGATATCCGGTTAACTTATCAAATTAAAAGCTGAATTAATAAATATACTGCAAACGGTTTGATTATGTAATGCAAAGCACCATTGTGGAAATTAAAAAGCAATGCCCCACATATCGCTCTGATAAAAATATAATCGGTAAATATTCATCTATCTAAATTATATAAACACATGTTCCGGCCTGTTTTAACTTTAGCCTGGGGAGCTTGATGCATTTTAGATGGGCGGGGTTTAGAGCTGTCAAAACCAAACACAACGACCTCAGTTTTAGAAACTAATAATGATCAAATGTATTGACAAAAACATAAATGAATACTAATTCTACAATGAATAACGAGCAACTTAACTAGCAACAATAATAATCGTATTAATGATAAAAACATAACAAAAAGAATAACAATTATTACAATAAAAATGAACAATTCTAGAAATACACAGCAAAATGTATATCCAGCAATACAATCATATATTGGTTGACTACAAGTTATATTTATAGATAATAACCTGTAGCCTACTGTATGTTAAACAGGTCACAATCCAATTTTCCAAGAATTACCTGTGTTACGTCTTCATTGTGTTTCCCATGGCTCAATAAGGACAAAATGCTGTCCAATATAGTTTGCAGAAGCTTCCTGTTTTCTTTAGTCAAAATCAACAGTTGCAAAGCTCCAGTCCCATGAGTAGGAAGAACATGGATGCATGCATTTTGCCCCAGGTTCAAGCTCTAACTGGATTGTTCTGTCCCTTTGCTTTTGTTGTTTTGACTTTGAGGAGTTGTGCCCGCTTCTGAGAATTCAGGTTCTGGGTCTGGGGCAGTGTTTTCTCCCAAGAAGATACATTTGCATGTCTCCCTCCTCGACACAGGAGGAGGAGGAGGAGGAGGGTGCCATGGAAAACTCAGCTATGTTAGCTAAGCAGAGGGGAAGTTTTTTCTCTGGGGGATTCTTTGCCTATACCTATCCTAACTGACATCATCTTGGTCTTAAATATCACAGACCTGAGCTTGAAATCCCCCAATTCAACTCTCCGTGTCAAATGTTTTGAGGGTTTTTAACTCATATTTGCAATATTATTTATTTATTTAAATATTGTAAAACACATATCTATCATCATGTGTATTGGGTTTGCCTTTGAGTTGGTCTTTTTGTAATGATCCATTCATGTATCCTGAAGTCAAAGTCCATTTTCAGCTGTGTCTGTGCAGCCTTTTGCGACAAAATGTTCCCTCAGTCTTTTCAAGGAATTATTACAGAGGGCATGGACAAACAATACTATTCAAAATAAACTTACACAAATACACCCAAATATAAATGCTTGGAATAGACATGAGAATATTTGTCTCTGACTCTTAAGTTTTATGTGGTGTATGCTTTTCTAGGATTCAACACCATGAAAAAAAGGCAAGATCTTCTAAATCTTTACAATCCTGATTGATCATAAAACAAAGCATGGTTTCCTGTTTTTTTACCACCAGCACCGTTTCGAATTCACATAACTTTAAAATTCTTTGGTGTGTTAGGTGAGTTTTGAGCACTCCTTAAGGAATAATAAACCATAGCAGCATTTGTTTCACTAAAACTGTTGCTTGGAGTCCATTGTAAAGGCTGCAGGGGTTTTCTTTTCCTGCAACACAAAAGCTGTTCCGTGTTTTGTGCCTGTTTTCTCCAACACTAAATGAACTATGTATATATAAGTCTAATCACACATAGCATCTAAGGGGCTTCCAGTAAAGCACAATGTTTGATTTCCATTGTTTGGATCATAATAGCCAATCACAGCCGCTGGGTATGCGGCAGCGAGACATGTGCACCACCCACCCTCAGGGCAAATACTCCAGTGGCTGCATTGTGCAGCAGGAATTCTTATTTGCAAACATTATAAACAGATTACATCAACACACATACTTAGACAGTCCCAACCCAGGAACCCTGACTACCCAGAAGCCTCCAGACAGAGAGGAAGAAACAGCTATGTTACATTGTTCAATGTTCCAAACTCACATTGGTTTCTCATACAGCATCAGGGGCGGACTGGGACTACAAATCAGCTCTCGACCGGCCCACTCCGAGACCGCCGGCCCACCTCGGTAAATTATCAACGGGGGGGGGGGGGGGGGGGGTGCTAGCGGCCCACCTCGGTGCCGCAAGTAAATACCGCGAGGAAATTGTCGACGGGGGGGGGGGGGGGGGATGCTAGTGACTTATCCGAGCGGCCCACATCGTCCGACCGGCCCACTTCAGTACCGGCCCATCGGGATTCGTCCCGAACATCCCGATGGCCAGTCCGCCCCTGTACAGCATCTCTGTATAGTATGTGTATTAACTCTCTGTGAATACACATTGGAGCTGTTGGAGCTCCTGCCCCCCCCTCCCTATGAGCCCACTGTGCTCTGATTGGTCAGCTCGCCCACTCTGTTCTGATTAGTCAACCAACGTTACAGCGGAACATCAGTGATTATGTGTTACAATGGCGTTTGTTAGCAACCAGAAAATGACACCAGTAATGACAAACAGATGAGAATGCTGCGTGGGGTCTGGGTGCCGTGTTGGCGGGACGTTGCGCGGCTCGCTGCTCCGCCCTTTGAGGCTCGAGGAGCGGACAGTGTGAGCTGGATTACTGGTGTCGTTTCCTGGTTGCTGCGTGGGGTCTGCGAGACAGCGAGACACCGCGGAACTCAGCCTGAGCACACACACACTCACAGCAGGCTTCTACTTTTCACTGTTCTGGATTTGAATATACACTCAGTAAAAAAACAATATTCATTGTATTGCATTTACATATTTTGTGCAGTTTCACATTTACTAAACTAACTCCCACCATTTCAAATTTTCTAAAATATTGTAATTTTTCATATTGTCCACTTCCAATATTCACACATTTTAATAACTATACCCCTTTAAATTGTCGTTTATATAAGGCCAATGTGGTTATTATGGAGTAACTGTATAATGGCCACACCATTTATCATATTGTCTGAGGTTGAACTTAAAAAAGCATTAGTGAGATAAAAAGGTATGCACATTCATAAGCAGAAAATAATATATATATATAAGATATATATATTTTAAATCTACAGTTCGTCTGCCTGCTTGAAAAATAACTTATTTATTCATTAAATGGACTTGAGTGACTGATAAACCCACACTGAAATGCACTTATGCAACAGGCTGCTGGAAGTGTTGATAAGTCACTCAGCAGCTATTATTTCCAAAGAATGTTGCTAAGTTAAAGGAACTCCAAACAAACTTTTCTGCTCCCTGATCTGAATGCTAAGCAGGGAAACACAAAGCAACTGGCTACAGGAATATAACAAATACACACAACCAATCTCATTCCAGGAATGCTGATGAATATCTGTTTTCTGACAACTTTAGACATAATGAAAATCCAGTGCAATCTTTAACACACCCAAAAATGTATTTTAAAATCACCTCAAAGGAAGTACCTATCTATGGGTTGTCCCAGAACATGTCATTTTTAACAATAGTGTCACAGTGGTGAAGAGATAATGAGAGATATACTATGATGGTCAAACAATAACACAATCTTCAAACTGGTGCACATTTCACCCCTGTTTCCTCTCTGCCAAGATACAATAAGTTATCACAGAAAGTTCATAACATAACTGTGTGTCAGTATTTTAGTTATTGATATGTGGTTTGCTGTTAAAGCATTTTGTTTCTCAGAAGAAAATGATCATATCATATGCTTTTGATAAAAAAAGGCAACCAAAACTTTAATAAATGAAGTAGCGTCAAACATGTATGGGGGTAATTTAAAGGGGACCTATCATGCAAAATGCACTTTTGTACGTCTTTTATACATGAATATGTGTCCCCGGTGTTCCAGGGAACTCACCAAGTGTCAGAAAACACAACCCTCTCTATTTTCCTCCATACCCAAATCTCTAAAAACGGGGCTGCAACGGATCTGATAAAAACTGATCCAGATTTGAACACGTTACTGACGTCAGGACGGTGGCGCTACGGCTATTGGGCCAACTCTCCACCTATCAGGGGAATGTGGGGTTGGGCCACGGCCGGCCATTGCCGCTCGAAAGCGCTGGAGACGCTGTAGTACATATGCCAGGCCTGTAAGTGGCGCTGTAGTCTGCCACAAAAGCAGCGAAGAAGACTTCCCGCGCATGGTTGTCATGGTTGCCCTTCTGTTTATTCTCCGCTGTGGCTCTTTTTCTCCCTCCCAGAGGCAAGCGTTTGCTCCTGCTGCTGTAATTCAATGCAATCCCTCCCCGTCGAGGCAAGCACTGTAATTCTCTCCGGTTAGTCCACCAGCAGATGACAAACACCCACCTCTCCGCCTCTTCCAAGGAACGAGGGGACCGTGCGGCAGAGTTTCAGTTAGGTTTTTTTTCGCCGGTCAAGATGTCCGTTAAAGTTTAAATCTTCCGGACAAAATTAGAAAAGTGCCGGTCAAAGGTCTTCTTTGTTATTTATTGAGCTTTAAAACAAATGAATAACGACTCTATATAATAATATAATAAAACACGGAAGACGGAGATCTCCCCCCTCTTCTGACAGCCCAGCAGCTGATCAGAGCACGTTCCCCTCTCCTGCAGGGGGGCGTGGTCAGCTGCAGCTCACAGAATCAGCCCCCTGCAAAAACAGGGCTGGAAAAAGAGCAAATGGAGCGAAATGAGGCATGGCTAAAATGCAGGATCTGTTTGGTATTTTGAAAAAAAAACTATATTTATATACTTTATATAGGTATGGCCCTACAATATATTGTTCAAATATAGCATGATAGGTCCACTTTAATTGAGTTTAATCCCAATTAAATGCTGAATATGATGTATTCCTTTTTTATTTGGAAGGAATATTTGTTGAAACGAGGAAAAACTGTATTTGTATTAAATGTTGCCCTCCAATTGATTATATTAATTGCAAAAATGCCAATAAATCTTTATTCAGTTATTGACTACTTTTCAGGCAGCATTTTTTCTAAACAAGAC